GGATGTTTATATTAGAAGTTAATGGCAGAACCAGGACTAGCACACAGACCTTACTCCTGACTTTTCTTTTAATGTCTGACCCAATTTAAACAAAGGCGGGAGGGGGAGCAATAACAACTTTCTGAATCATGAATCATGCTGGCTCTTTCATGTAGTTACTAGTCTCTCTGAAAGTTAACTAGAAAGATTTATAAATAACCCAACTAGATCTGAGCTCTTCAAAGATAACTTTATTACACACATCTAATAAAAATTCAGAAGGAAAGATCCTACATTTTACATCCAAGGATAGTCTAATTTTATCTACATGAATTCAACATTTGCATAGCCCTTCTGAAGTACACCCTAATTTAATATCTTTCTACACTGACATCTACCATCCTCAGATGTGTGAAAGCGTTTGCCTGTACATCTGCAAAGCAGATCATGTTCGGTAATAAAACCCATACGACATGTGCCTGGGATGTGACTGGACAGGAAGGCAGGGGCAGATCATTATTCCAGTTCCATGCCAACTTTCGATTTTATACTGAAGGCAGTGGGGAGCCACAGAAATATTTTAAGCAGAAAAATGACAAAGATCAGATCTGTATTACAGGAAGACTATTTTGATAATAATATGAAAGATAGATTAGAAGACAGACAAGTTGGGAGGAAAAAGACCTTAGGCTGGTGAAGAAATTCAAGTGAGAAATGATGAGGGACTGAACAAAGCAATGATGGAAGAAACTGGAGAAGTGAGGATGGATTTAAGCAATACTGAACTGCGGTCCTGGCTTCATAATAAGAAAAAAAAAAGCATTAAAACTTCACTTAGGCTCATACTGGCTACATACAGTGAGTAAACCTTCAAAGTTTATTTAAACTCTTAATAGAAAACAAATGAACTACTTCCCTAACACTACCTTCAGGCTGTTAAGATAGAAACCGAAGAACACAAAAATTGTTCCTTAGGTTCTTGGAGCAACCAAGTGTCTAAAGGTATTTTGGCTAAAACAAAGCCCATTTTCAATTACCACAGCTGGCATCCTAATATATTACCATGAAAGGGAAAGACAGGAAATGAATCAATAAACCTCAGGCACATGCTCAGCCTGTAAAGACATAGCATATCAAGGAGCAGAAATCTGAAAACAAAGGCCGTGGGTAATTTAATTACCAGGCCGGAATCTGCTGACTGCCGGTTTAATTGTTTGAACAGTGCCCAAATTGTCTGATGAGGTGACCACCCTAAGATTTCTGCACCACTTACTACACGTGACCACATGAACAAATATGAGAAATAGTTCTAAAGAGTGTAGGGCTCCTGAATAACTTTTATTAATCATACCTATGGTTCCAAAGGAAAAATGTAAAGTCAAAACCTCATCGTATTTACAAATAACCCAAGGCTCTTTTTAGCAAATTCATTTGCCATTACATATTCCACGTGGCCAGACCAAGAAAACAATATCCTTCAGAGATGAGCACCAACTGCTATATAAGAACTGGAAAACAAAAGTTACCCAGATTAAATGTGTATTGTTCTTATTTACCATTATACTCTGAAAAGGTTGTGTTAAGGGAGGGGTGGGAGTTGGAAGAAAGAAAGTAACTGTAGGATAGTAACTACCAGTAAGTACTCAAAAACTGCTCAGTACACTAGAGCAAGCCAATTTTCTGCCTAGATTCAGTTAGTATTCCCTCATTTGTGTTTATCTCCCAAAGAGTAAATCAACAGAAAACTCCTTTCAAAAACTGAACAAAGAAGTACCTCAGAGTACTTAACCTGGCAGTGTGTTCTCCTGGTGACTTCACTGAGTAAATAAGGTCCATAAGGCCAAAGTAGACTATTACACCATTCATTCAACCGGTATTTATAAAATGCTTTGTATTGTGCTAAGTCCTCAGCAGAAGCTTACAATCTATTAGAGATAAAAGATACACGTGGAGACTTTGAATAACAACAAAAGGCAGTATGTAGATAAATTCTAAAATGAGTCACGCAAGAATGAGAACTACAATGCTCTCATAAGAGGAAATGAACATGGACAGAATTAATTGAGAAAGATTTTATTGAAGAGATGGAACTTCAGCTAGAACTTTTTTAAAGGCAGGATTTGAATATGTAAAGAGCGAAGGGCTTCTTAGGGCTCCAGATGAACATAGAGCAGAGATTTTGAATCAGAAATTTACATGTTCTATTTTGAGAACCAATATGGAGATCAGTTTAGTTATGGGTTTTGTGGGAGATAATTAGATTTGGACATTAGATTTGGTAAGAAGTTCACTGGCCAGTTTCCGAAATACTAAAGACAGAAGCCCAAATGCTTCATACTTCCCTTATAGACAAGAAGGAAATAAAGGACCAAGCTACATATTACATCAAGAGGAATAGTTATACCACTGTAGTGGACAAAACTGTTAAATGCTTGCCCTGTTGCTAGTCTTTAATGATAACATATTAAATTAATGATATCCATCAAGATTTAATTCAATTAAATGACATGCTTAAGGAGATGAGGGGAGAGCAGAAAGTCCTTCAAGCAGAAGAAAGAGAAATGTGCAAAGATGCAGCTTGTTAAGTTCAAAGAACTTTAAGAAGGCATATAACCAATTAGTATACAAAGGTAGAGTCCGGCTTCAAACTTGGTTATGCCACTTACTTGCTCTGTGACCCTGGGCAAATTGTTTAATCTCTTTGTCCCTCAGTTTCCTGTATTGTAAAACAGATATATTAATAGTACCTATCTTATAAGGTTTTTGAGAGGATTAATGACATAGTATACATACAGACTTAGCACAATGCCTGACACATGGTAAAGTGTTCAAGAAATGATAACCTTTATTGGTTTTGTTTGTTTCTGAGACAGAGTCTTGCTCTGTTGCCTGGACTGGAGCGCAATGGCATCATCCTAACGGCAATCTCAAACTCCTGGACTCAAGCGATCCTCCTGCCTCAGCTTGCCGTGTAGCTGGGACTACAGGCGTGCACCACCCCACGATTAATTTCTTTCTATTTTTAGTAGAGATGGGGTCTCGCTCTTGCTCAGGCTGGTCTCGAACTCCTGAGCTCAAACAATCTGCCCCCCTCGGCCTCCCAGAGTGCTAGGATTACAGGCGTGAGCCACTGCGCTCGGCCTATACATCCTTTCTTCAGGTTTTTGCTCAAATAAGTATCAGAGAGGCTTTTCCTGACCGCCTTTTATAAAGGAACAAATCTTTACCACATCCTGGCCTCCCTATCCCCATGATATTCCTTATTTGTCTCTGAAACTCTGACATAGCACATTTTCTTTTAATCCTCCCAACCTAAAACACTCTCACCGAAATACAAGCTCCATGAAGGCAAAGACTTTGTTCATTGATGTGTTCTTAGCGCCTAGAACCATGTCTGACACATGACAGGCCCTCAATAAATAACGTATTGCTTTGATAGAAATAAAATAATTTAACAAAAGTAGGCCATGAAGCAGTAGCATTATTAGACTATTCATGTGTGAGGATAATATGATAGCATCTTCAGAATTACAAGGAAACAACAGAAATATAAGGTCTTCAGAGGTTTCACTTAGAGACCCCTTTCTGAAAGTAGAAAAGATATTTGCCAAAGGGGGAAGAAAAGATCCTCCCCTACGTGGACTACCGTTTTCCCATTTTATCCTAAGTAGGTAATCTAACCCTCTCACCACCTTAATTAACAGATAAAATCTACTTCTTGTTCTCCTCTTTCACAAACAAAGAATTAGCTTTCTCTGAATTAATTCAATCTCATTGAAATTTCTTAATACAATGATTGACTTCACAGAAATTCATCCTGAAAGAAACAGAAAATGAGGGAACAAATCGCAGCCTGCCAAAATCCTCACATTAATAGAATTCAGTTGGGTATGGTTATGGCCAAGATCGGAATAGCTGATGCTTCCCTCTCTCCCTTCACTGTAGCCTAGCTACAGCTGCAGCTGCCAGACATGGGAGCAGCTCGCTGCTCACATACAGAATGTCAGCTTTGAACCATAACTAAAGGCAGGCTGCCAATAATCAGCAGGAGATAGCTGAAATTTAAAATAGAAGTTAACAGGGAAACTGGACTGCTTCTCAGAAACTTGCCTATTTGATTAAGGCTTACTATGCTTATATTTCCAAACGTGAAGTTTAAAGACGATTTGCTTAATCATCTCTGAAAAATCCATTCCATTCAGCAAATGTATGTTCAGAAACTCAAATTTATTTCCTGAGATTTGCAGACATCAACTTTTTAGACCCAGAAAACTGACTGGGAACTCCTCTAGAGTAATGGTCAAGTTATTCATTTTTTTTTTCTTTTAAATCCCCAGCACTAGCCACAGTACCAAGTACACAGCACTGACTAAACTCACACCACCCCCTCATTCTTAGAAGACACTGAGGTTCAGAAACATTATGTGGCTCACCCAAGGATGTTTATATTAGAAGTTAATGGCAGAACCAGGACTAGCACACAGACCTTACTCCTGACTTTTCTTTTAATGTCTGACCCAATTTAAACAAAGGCGGGAGGGGGAGCAATAACAACTTTCTGAATCATGAATCATGCTGGCTCTTTCATGTAGTTACTAGTCTCTCT